TTGCATTATTTTATAGTGCGTTTTGCGTGTTTTTCTGTTTTTTCTCCTGTGCTTGCATCCTGCATCCAGGCTCCCACAAAGCATCCATGCACAAAGTCCGTCCGTTCCCGACAGAGCATGCCCATCCATTCCCGCAGAGCATCCTTGTGGCAACCATGATAACGTCCAGATCAGACTCCATCCATTCCCGCAGAGCATCCATGTGGCAACCATGATAGCGTCCAGATCAGACTGCGTCCGCTCCCGCAGAGCATCCATGTGGCAACCAGGATAAGGTCCAGATCAGACTCCGTCCATTCCCGCAGAGCATACATGTGGCAACCATGATAACGACTTAGCAATCATGAGAACATTCACAAGTATTCTTCGTACCCTGTCGGGCAAGCTTGTGATCCCTTACAGCAACCCTTATAGACCCCTTTAAAGGAACCCAGCTTTGGCGTGATTCCGATCCTCAGGTGCGGTGAATCCCACGTGATGCCTGCGGGATGCTCGGCAGAGCCGTCCATCCCGGTTTCTTTGCAGAGGCCCTTGGCTACCACGCACAATGGCAGCCCCCAGTCTGCGACGTAATGATAATATTAGTTTAAGAATAATCGTATATAAGAATATGCACAATAATAACAGTGATGATAACGATCATAGTAGTAGTTTTGCAGCCCGTTCGACCACAGCTTCAAAGACTACCGAACCTCTTGATCCATTGGTTGGGCGCCGTCTGGGTTCTCGGAGCAGAGCATGGAATGTTCAGTGGTTGAAAAGTCACATAGGACGTGGGGAAAGCATAGCTTTCAGAATGTCACACACAAGCTGTCGCCTCCGCAAAGTTAGCACACAGAAAGTCGAATCGGTATGAGCGGGGGCGCCTGCACTCCTCGTTGCAGCTGAGAGTCCCCCAACAGGGTTTAGGGTTTAGGGTTTAGGGAACGTGTACACTCCGAGTTTCATGCATATCTGCTTGCTCAGATCATTTTGTGTGAAGCCTCAGCAACCCTCAGACATAGATCCTAAGCCGATTGATTGTGCCGACATAGCCACGTGCCGAAGCCTTTCAAGCCCATTTCTGTGCACAATTCGCTTCTCCCAGCAAGAGCACTTGGGAGTGCTATCATTCTAGATGATAGTAGGCTAGAGGCGCGAGGCGCTAGTGTGCCCATGGACCGCTTGGATCGTGCGGGTTTGAGGCTCTACCCAAGTCTGTCGGGTGAGGCATAAGGCGTAAGGCGTAAGGTGAAGCTTCAATGACGGCTTTGGGTCTTGAAAGCAATCGGACGGTATTTGGTGGAAGCTGTAGGTATTTCCTAACCTGTGCGGTTCTGCCCAGACATAAGACTCCGGAACAGACTCCGCGGCGGTCTCCGCCCTCTCAACACCGTCGGAAAAGAACAGCGAGAAGCTGCAGGGAGTGATGATGGCAGGAAGTCATGGAGTTTTCATTCGCAAGAAGGGCTCAATATTTCATACAGAGTCATGTAGACTTCGGGGCTCAATGTTCGTGAATTCCTTCTTAGCTCTAAGCTCCGAGATCCGGAACTCCCCGAAGCACTCTTGCTTCTTGGTCTGCTTGATATGACGAAGCAGCCTCAAACATTTTTGTAGTTTTTGGGTTTTTTGGTAGCATGATGTCGAAGCGGGATGGAACAGGGGACAGTACTGTTGATTATTGAGACCTCCACATTACCCCCACTAGCACCCCGATAATTAGCGAACCTCAGAACCCTGAAGGACGGGTAAAATACTTGCCTGGATGAGAACAGGTCATTCAGTTTATAAAGGGGCGGTAATGCGACAGTGTTCCTAGATCCTCAGACCGCTATATTAACGTATTACTCTCCGTATGCGATTCTTCGATGCCTCCAGGCGTGACGGATTAAACAGGTCGCTGGAATGTAGGGGTGCAGGATTCTAGGGGGGGTAAGCAGCGCCCGGATGCAATGTCCCTCTCCGAATCCACATAATGGAAGTAGCACTGCCTAGCATGTGATGTTGGAACGCGCACGCCGGGTTTGAGGCTCCGAAGACGGCTGCCCTCGGTTCAGGTTTGCAGCATTTTTGAGGGGCCGATACGAAACCCCAGTCTTTCGAGAATCGGCTTGATGGTTGAGGGTGATGGGAGTGACGACTGCCTTGCTGACTTCCTAACCAGCTTGCCCTAGCTGGCGTTGATCCAGAAGCAGCTCGCTGTTGAGATTTTCCTGGCTGCTCCTGCGCCCTGAACTCCATACTCTCCGTCAGTTAGATGTTGGAATGCGCAGCCGCGAAGAGCAAAGCTCTTAAGCTTAAAGCCCTGAAGCCGCTCAGCCTAGCAAACCCCGAAGCACCATAATGTAAGAGCCCTAATTATTAGAATAGGGTTTTAAATTTCAGGGGTTCCTTAATGTAGTTATTGCTTAATTTTATACCCCAATCCCTATTCTGATTGTTAAGGCTCCTAAATGAAGCCAATACCCGGAAAGCTCATGGCACAAAGACCTGAACCCTGAACCCGAACATCTCGCTACCATGGCGCCGACCGTTCTTCGGCGATTTCGGACCTGTGTGTCAAATTGCTACCCGCCCCTTGGCAGACGAGGAATGAATAAATGCATGCATGTATGTATATATATATATATATATATATATATACATACACATAAAAGTACACACATATGTATACATGTATATACATGTACATATACATATGCATGCATACATACATGCATACATACATACATGCATACATACATACACGTACATACATAGATACATCCATGCATACATGCATACAAACTAAATGGTTAATGCACAAGCATATGTACACTTTTTTAAAAGGTATAAGAGTATATGTGTATAGATATGGGTAGATAGATAGCTATTAAATAGATAGTTAGATATACTGATAGATTTAGATAGATAGATAGGCAGGTAGATTGACAGATTGACAGACGGTTGTTGTTCGGAGAGGCGGCTGGTGATGTCAGGATAATAGGGTTTAGGGTTTAGGGTGGGAGGACAGAGTGAACAAGAAACGGATGAAACGACGGTCAGGGGTCTGCACGGTACGCGCCAGCAACAGTGAAAGGAATTCTTGTCACGAAAATGCAAGAAGCCCCAAAGCCCTGAGACAGGTGAATCGGTGGTCTAGGTTGGAAAAGCTTGCTGGCAGCTGCAAGCTCACACAGCGTGCTATTTTTCGGCACTAGACTGTCTGTTTGTGTTTATGAGCGGCGAAGCATCGACACTCCGAATTCTACCCTGGGGCTGCTCCGGGATCTAGGTTCCATGGAGTCAGTGTAGCTATTCATGATACTGATGCTGTGGGCCATGTCTGTTGGTGGTAGCATCATGTCTGCATGCACATGGTTTTTCGCCATTTATCAATGTGCTGCCTGAGGATCGAGTTCACTCAAGGCGACAGGCCTTGTTCGCCGGCTAGGGTTCAGGTTTCAGGGTGTAGGGCTGTTTAAGCCTTTGCGAACTTCGGGTGTCGGGCTACTGCGTGTCCTCTTAGGCCTTTCAAGCTGGGTGTGGTACGGTCCGCTATGTGGCTGCCTAGGATGTACAAGTGATTCTACATGAGGCCTTGCCGCAACTGCCTGGACTTGGATTGTGAACCCATGGCTTCCCTTGAGGTCTGTCGGGTTGAGGATGGTGGTGCCGGCTTTTTGGTTCGGACACCTATTGTCGGTTCGCGACCTTGCGTTTGTGTTTGCGAGTGTACTCGTGCGTTTTTCTCCCTCGCTCTCTTTTTCTCTCAGGATCGTTGTATGCATGCAGCCAAGCTATGTTTGCACACAAAGTTCGATCTGCTGTAGAAACATGTTTATGTCCATCTGTCCCTGTCTCTGTCTCCTCAGAGCTCCTCTCTCTGTCTGTCTGTCTGTCTCCTTTCTCTGTTTCTCTTTTTGTCTGTCTGTCTGCCCTCCTTGTCCGTCTGTCCGTCTGTCTTTCTGTCTATCTCTGTCTCGGAGAATCTCGGCAAAAGAAAAGGGATATACACGCATGTGCGTGCGTGTGCGCACATATACATGTACATGTGTTAAACACATCTAGAGACAGTGCCGCAGTTGTTGAAGTCCCATCGTCATGGGGCCGGATCCTCACGTCCACTGTGCAGGCACCTGCAAATCAATATCTTCCACTGCTCCTTCTTCGATGCCGAGGCAGGAAGTTGGTTTCGGGTTCAGACATAGTAGTTGCCGTGACCTTTGTGAGCACAGTCCGAGATACCCCAAAGCCCAGACGATGTTTCTCGGGCGAGGACTGCTGGAAGCTTTCTATTTCTGGCTTCCGATTGCCAATGTCGTCGAAACCAGGGGTCTTTCTGCTAGCTGCTGCCAATGCTCGTGCTGGCTGCTGACTACCGCTGCGAGCTCTTCCTACTCTTGCTCCTCCTACTTGCTCCTGCTTCTACTTCGTCTCTTACCAGAAGAACGACGACGGGCTACTGCGACTGCTGCTGCTGCCAGCCTTGATGAGAGCCTGCGTAAGGACTCATGCTGGATTTCTTCTCAGGGCCTGAGCTTTTCAAGTCCATCAGGCAAGGACCTAGACCCCTTTTGCCGGAAGTAGGCTTGATTTCATTCCGTGAAACCCTAAACCCTAAATCCTAAATCCTAAACCCTAAACCCTAATCCCTAAACCCTGAATGCTGAACCCTAATTCCCAAACCCTAAACCCTAATCCCTAAACCCTAAATTCTTAACCCTCAGCCCTACTCCGTAGACCCTGAGCCCTGAGCCTTCGACCTCGAGAGCCATGGCCGAAACAAGGCCGAGACTCCAATATCCCCTAATTAAGGAATCTTCCTTAAATCATATTAGGGATCCTACTTTAATTTAAGGAATCTTCCTTAAATCATACTAGGGATCCTACTTTAATTTAAGGAATCTTCCTTAAATCATACTAGGGATCCTACTATAATTCAAGGAATATTCCCTAATTAAGGGATATTGGAGTCTCTGGGAAGGCCGAAACCTGAGCCCTGAGCCCGAAAGCTGCTCCGCGAGGCGGATCAGCCCATGCTACCCCGTGAGGCCGGATGGGACCTGGGAGTCTCACCAGTTACTAATCAAAAAGTAACTATACTATTTTTTTGGGGTTTTCTTAGTATTTTTTCATAGTATCATGAGCCCCGAGACCCTAGTCTGATCATTAAGGTCCCTATGATATTTGATCTCTCCCCTGATGGTTCCTGTTTCTGGGCATTGGGACGCTGTTTGGATATATTTTCATCGTTCATCAGGATCATGATTGAAATCAATTGTTGTTCCAGTGATCCTCAGCGTTAGTACTTGTCGCTTTTGGTCTTCGGACTCTGTTGCTGCTTCTGGGCTTTATTTCTTTTGGCTTTGCTTGATGGTTCCAAGAGGCTGATGCGTACATCTTGGAAAGCCCTTGTATACCCATTGCCCACAGACCTTTGAGTCTCGAGTTCCGCAGCCTCAGCCCTAAATGCCAACATAAATGACGAGCCATAAGTGTATCTCAAGACTCCTCTTACGAAGTCCCAAGTTATGCAGGAGACAGAGCTCAAGCGCAGCATCTTCGATGTACCTCGGAGAGCGCGCCTTTGGCCTTCGAGAGGGGATGAGAGTTTGAACAAGATGCAAATAGCTTTCAGCAGTTTTTGGGGGTTGTTCTTCTGATGGCGCTGAAAGGCACCTGCAGGGTGCAAAGTTCCAGGCGAGCTCAGCACAAACATCTGTGTCATGATCTTGTCGCCGCGTGCGTGCATAGCGTCGCGAGGTGTCTGGAGAAACAATTCTGAGAAGAGAGGAAGCAGTTGCAGCGAAACGCAGGGTTTGCTTGCTCTGGGACTGGCTCTTGATGGGTGGGACTCCTGGGTGTCCCCCCGTCCGCCGCAAAATCTCAGTTCCCGGATCCGTCCCTAAATTCTGGACGCTTCGTGCCCAGGAAGCGCCAGCATATGGTGGAAGCTGCTTTGGGGGTCGGTGCCTGAGACGGGGATGTTCGTCGAACTATTGTTTGATGCTGAGTTCACCGAGATTAAATTTACATACAAAAATAGGAGAGATAGACATAGACATAGACAAATACACATCGACATATACATATACATAGACACAAATACCGATACATATACCTATATGTATTATATGTATACATATACTTATTCATATACACATACACAGACACACCTAGACACATGCACATTCACATATACATCTACATCTACATATACACATACATGTACATGTACATATGTATATCCAGGTACATGTACCGATACAGATACATATACATACGTGTCAGCCTACGTCCGCGCGTCCACGCAGACTTATGCGCACACGCACACGTACGTATGCATGTGTATGTCTACGAGACAGGTATGTCTATCCATCCCTGAGACGGCGCTGTGGTGAATCGAATGATTTCAGGCATCTACAACAGCCTTCAAACCTAGTCCCACACCTTTTCTGTGAAGTCTGGCCTCTTTTGAAACCTAAGTAGCGTGTACTGCCCACACATCCCAAAGATATACTTCAGCCTCGTGCATAATGCCCTTGTGTTAAGTGCCTAGGTCCGCACCCTGGAGTTCGGTGGCGACTGCGCTGCTGGCCTCAGAGTGGATGCCTCGCCACTGCTTCCGGCGGCCATGCGGGCAGAGGTGAACTCGGGGTCTCCATTCCTCTTCGGAAGTAGAAGTGGGAGTTTCCGAAAATAGGGGACCCCAAAATAGTACCCTAAATAGTAGGATCCTTACTATAAGAACTCCAAAATAAGGTACCCCCTAGTTTTCGGAAACTCCCAAGTCAGGTCGGGCGATGTAGAAGTTTCTGCTTCTTCTCAGTCTATGGAGCCCTCTGCGTGCGACTTGGGAGTTTCCGAGAATTAGGGGTACCTTTTTTGGGGGTCCCTTATAGTAAGGATCCTACTATTTAGGGTACTATATTAGGGTCCCCTATTTTCGGAAACTCCCCTGTTTACAGGAACAGTTTTCAGCAATTCTCCGTCCCAAGATGAGGTATGTTGTCTGCTGCTTGGTATGGGGGTTGTCCTTGCTGTCGTCGGTGAAGTACAACGACGGTTATCTTGGGTCGTTCATTTTGGTGATTTCAACATGCTTTTAACACTAGGTCCCGTTGATGACTCTTACTCAGAGGCGAAATGAATAGGCACCGTGCAGAGGCAGACATGCCTAAACGCTCGTTGCATGGCTGTGCCCCGACCGAAAACCAGGAAGGCGCAGCTCAGCTCGTCTCGGATGGATAGTCTTAGAGTTCTCTCATTAGGCGTTTCTCGACCGTTTGTCCCAGTCTTCGCTTAACTTAGGGTTGACTTCGTCTAACCCGGGCATCAGACTTTGCAGGATGTCACTGTTGGTGAAGCTGATCTCTACGAAGCCCTTATGGAGAACGATTGGCGCCTCATCCGACGACATAGTACAAACATGTACAAACCAAGATCTACGGCTCGGATTGGACAGCAGAAGATGAAAGCAGTTCTAGGTCCGGTTCAGTGAGGGGTGGTACGTGAAGGTGCTAGTGCGGAGCAGGGACCGAATTCGCAGCTGCGGTGGACTACTGGTTGCGATGGCGGGGGTGATGGTGATGATGGTGGAGATGGAGAGTATGATGCAGGCGATGATCTTGGCAACAAGAATCGGGTGAGGATCGCGTTGCTGGTGATAAGCTGACGACTTTAAGGATGCTATAGCTGCTGCTGCCGCCGCCGTCTCTGCTGATGATGATCATGATGATGATGATGATGAGAGCAGTCATGATGACCACGATCATGATGGTCGTGATGTTGAGCATAACAGAGAAGATCTTGACGATGATGTGGTGCTCGTGGGCGTCATTTCGATGTTGTCCATGTCCGTGACCTTGGTGGTGCTGGCGGTCAGAGGTCATATTTGCAAGAAGATTCCAACACTTTGTAGAGGCACCCTGAAGCATAGTGAAACCACCAGCACCACCGCCAGCACCACCGTCACCGACCGTCAGCAGCACTGCCACCACAACAGCGACGATCAACAGATTATTCTTACCTGAACCTCCTTGCGCAGCCCAGCAATCCCAGAGCTCTGCCCAGCCTGAGCCAAGAATGCATGGTCTGTAAAGCACAGAGTTCCTCCCGGCTTGATTGTACAGGGACCTTAAAAAGCGATGACCGGTTCGAAGAGCCCCATGCACTGCATCAAGGCTGCCCTGCGTCGTCCTGGACTACATCGATAGTGAGGAGATCATGGTGGCAGCTTGACCGCGACTCTACGCCTCTGCCAGTGCCAGCATAGATGGCACAAAGAAGAGTTCGTTACAACTCTGCATTGGACCTTATGTATACTTGCAGCATCAGTATGCCTCGAAGACCCTATCTACGTCCTTAGAGCCCGAGTATGGATGAGGATTCGGACTCTGCATGGTCTTCGGAGGGCTTCCCCGGAGTGTGGAGCTTCCAGATCAGATCTGTAAAGATTGTCATCGCGCCTCTTGTGCGGCCGAAATAAGCGCTAGCACCACCAAAAGAGTCCAAGACATCTCAGAGAGCCATCTCGGCATGTGCCTTCCGAACCAGCAGGGGCGTATTTCTGTGATGATCCGCCGGTTCTGCGCACCAAAAATCCATGAAGCCCACCAAACTCTAGACTCTAAACCCCAAGACCCACGCAGCCTAAACCTCACGAAGAAGGAGCTCTACACCCCCGGCAGCTTCCACTGCGAGAAGTTGGGCCGCACTGGGCCACACCGCACGTCCCTGGCACGTCTGCGGCGGCGCCAGTGGGAGGCGAAAAGCTGTTCTTCCGATAAGAAAATGGGTCTTAAGAACTATTTCAATTAATAGTATTTCTCAACATAGGTAAGAAAATGGGCCTTAAGAATTATTGATTCATAGTATTTCTAAATATAGTTATAGAATACGCTACCATAAGCCCTATTCCACTTATGCTGGCCTCTGTAGTGAGGGGTTTGCAAGGCTCAAGTCGTCCAAGGCAGACAGCTCTCACAATTCGACAGTGCGATTGTTTGGGTCAAACTTGTGCAGGATCTAAGACTACGAGGTATGCTTTTTGTTCCATGTTCGGGTTCCAGGTGTTCGATGGCTTGAGTCGGCAGCCGAAGAATGCAGTGTGCATGGCTTCCTGCTGTATTGTGCTGTATTGCGTCGCGTTATGCATGTCCCATAGTGTGATACTAGTAAGTAGCATCCCCCCGTCATGTGCTTGCCTTCGTTGTTCGTTCTCTCTTGTCGGGTTTGGGACGAGACTCTTCCGGAATCAATTGTTAGCCTTGCCGAGCTGCTGTCCGAAACCCCAAACCTTAAACCCTGTATCCTAACTCTTTCGAGGTAGCCCGTGTAGTGACCCCCATCGAACCCGGTGTAGAATAGTAGAATCCTCGAACGACTCCATCAGTCTAGCCCGAGCTTCTCGAAAGTCGATCACAAAGCCAACCCTGTGCTGACATTTCTAACGTTTGTGTTTATGTAGGTACACAGCACACGCATGTTCAAATGCAGCCTTTTTATCTTGCTACTGGACATCTGCATACAGAAACCAAGACTGTGCCGTGAATCCAACTTTACCCATTAAGCCGTGAAGGCCTAAACAAATAAGGAGAAGAGAAACAAGCACGAATCCCGGCTTCCCTCGTGTATGCTCGCCACAGGTCTGTCGTGGCGAGGTTCTCCGAATCCCGGATGGGGCCACACTGACACTGCGCGAGGGTCAGCCGGGGCCTCGCACACTTGAAGCCTAAGCCCGTTGGGGCACAGGTCAGGCGGGCTTCTGCGATGCCAAAACCCCTAAACCGGAAACCCTAAGCCCTAAACACTTAAAACACAAAAACAACCTAAACCCCAACTTTTTGCCCTAAACCTCAACCTTTAAGCCATAAGCCCCAAGCTTTAAGCGCGAAACCCCTAGAACGGGAGCGGTCCCCTCGCCGATCTCTCCCGACGGCTGCCCCCCCAGCGGCCGAGGCGTCTCTGGGTCCAATCTCGTGGGCCAGGCGACGTGCTCGGTTTAGGGCTCATATGATGGGTGGCATGTATATTATGGGAGTTTCCGAAACTTAGGGGTACCCTATTTTGGGGTCCTTGTAATAAGGATCCTGCTTTTTGGGGTGCTAAATCAGGGTCCCCTATTTTCGGAACTCGCACATGGCAATTATGAGAGCACTGGCAAGTCGGCATGCTGCGGAATTCGTATTCCCCTGTTGCACCTACGTGGCTCGGGCATACAGGCAACCCAAGACCCTTTTATGCTATTTTTTCAGGTTGTTTCATCAGTGCATGTAGGCTCGGATTTGTGCGCAGTGATTCGGTTGTCTGTATGGGTTTGACTGCCGGGCCTGCACGGGTCCGCGTTCCAGCAGCCGTTGTATGGGAAATACGGCGTCGATTCGGGGTACTGCTGCAGCAGTGTGGTGTAAAGTGACGTTACTTAGTGTAGAGGTGTTGTGCAGCGCAGCGTTAAAGTCGCGTACTGCTATGTTATTATCTGATCTGATACAAGTCGCTACACGATACTACACCCTGATTGCCAAGTAGACGACTATGGCAGCATACCAGCACAGACGGAGGGATGGATGGGTGGGACGAATACGCACTTGTTCGGGACCCCAAGAACAAGCATAAGCATCAGCATTGTATAGGGATATCCCGACCCTATTGGGCTTCATTACGGTTTAGGGTTTAGGGTTTAGGGTTTATATGGGATATCCCGACCCTATTGGGCTTCATTATAAGGAGGTCTGTATGAGAAATCCCAGTGAACTCCCAAGAGGACAAGATGAGCCAGCTGGACGCCTGGAGTTGGGCGAGGAGCCGGGTCCCCGGCATATGTCGAGGGGTGGTCTCTTTTGGGTACCCTTTGGGGTTTAGGGTTTAGGGTTTAGGGTTTAGGGTTTCTGGGTTTCAAGTTTCGGGAGGTTTAAGGCGAGGTTTAGGGGTCTTGATCTGGGAGTTTGGGCTTGGGGGCTGATCGGGGATTCGGGGTTGCGGGGTGCGGGGTCTCAGCTTGTCATGAGGGTATGGGTGAGACTTGGTTGGACAGTGGCTCTAAGCTCCAAAACCTCGGGCGTGAGCGACAGGCATGGCTTGTAGATTTTTGGGCCCTTGCCGCGTCCCTTCACACCTAAACCTCGCCTGAGCTTCCTGCAAGATTCGGGTGCAGTGCTAAGTGTGATCTGAAGTTGAATTCTCTAGGGTTTAGAGTGGCAGGTTTACGGTTAGGGTTCAGTGTTTCGTTTGACACCGAAGCCTCCTACACTGCAAGCGGTGCTCGGCTAACGCCGAGGAAAGAGTCAGAGTGGCGAGGCCGTCTTTGGGAGTTGGTGGGCTCCACTCCCATGCCCAACACACGATGTATTTTCATATTCCCGAGAAGATGGCTTGTATGCAACACCCGCACCTGGGGCTCAGGTCGTCCACGCGGGAACGCAGCAGTGCTGAAGGATCTGAATCCTCCCGGAGACATCACAAACCACCAGAGGCTTTTAGACTCACCCGGGGCACACATCTCCCCCGACAGAAGCGTCTGGTGTAAGCGGCAGTTTCGCTTGAACTTGTCTGCATGCACGCCATTCCACAACAAACCGTAAAGCCGTAGAGCCAAATCCTTACCGACAAATTGAATCCCGAGCCCCAAACTCTGACGCCTCAGCACTACGTGCAAAAATACTTCTGAATCTGAAACCGTCAAAGGTCATCGTTTCGCTGCTTCGGCGGGACGGTGGAGAACGAGGGCATTTTGGTCACCGGACTGGATATCGTGGAGTTCTGCTCAGATCAATGATTCAGGGTTAGGTGCTGCAGCGGTGAGGGGCTTCGGTCTTCATTTTTGGTCGGTGGAGCCCCGCTTCGGCGACTTACTTCTGGCCAGCTGGAGCCTACCGGGAGGCCAGTGACACTGAAGCCGGGTTCTGCAGAACCTGTGGTTAAAACTAGACAAAGCCTCCATCGAGAGCAGTGTGGCTGTCTAAGGCCTTTGACCCATGAACCTCACGGGTTTGTGGTTGAGGCCTTGATGCCAATAGGGTCCCCGAAGCTCTGAAACTTCCTTCAGCCGATCCGCCTGACTCTTCCGTGGAACATCTGAGGCCTGCTCTGTGTCCCTGAACCACTACTCCACCGGCCGGCGGCAGTATAAGTTCGAGATTGAGCCGCGTCTCAAATCCAGACCCTGAGGGTCCCGAAATATTTCGAAACTCCGAACTCCGATCGATTGTTTCAGGGGCTGCTGACACACAGAATTAGGGCAATAATTAGGGTGATCTCCAGGCTTTTGGCTTTTCGACGCTGCAGCCACAAGAAGCTATCGAAATTTAATCTGCCAAGCTCAAGCACCGCCCCTTCACCTTCAGATAACCTCTCTGTCATGGTTTTGGCAGGCATTTTGATTTCGGTCTACACTCTGCGGCGCATGATAAAGACAGGCTCGCAGGTTCCGCAAGTGATGACCTCTTCCTTTACTTTTGGTGTAGCTACCCATCTATCTGCCTACCCACATGCCGATTACTACACAAATGTATGCACACGACCACCATCTGCTTCTACAGTCTGTGAGGAAAGCACCAAGACAGTCTTGGTGGACTGCATCAACGGGATTCCGGACCTGCCACCAGAGGTGCACGGAGCTGTGGGGGGAAAGATAAGCTAATCCGAATGCGAGCAGTTAGCAGTGAGCCGTTCCTTCCGTGGGCTCCGTACCATACACGGCCTCGGATTTAGAGATAGCTGGTTGGCTTAGGTATCCCATTGGGAGTGTGTCGGGTTCGCAGCGGTTCAAAAGGCTGATCGAGTAACAACAATCACTTACACCCAGCGCTATGTGGGGGGCTGTTATGTTTGTGTGTCGAGACTCCCATGGAGTATAATTAAGCACCGTCCAAACCCCAAACAAGCTTATTAGCACTCAATGGCTATCAGCTCCACGGCATCATCAACGGTTCCTTGTGGCTCCCGGAGCTCCGAGACTTCCCCAGATATGGCTTTGAAGCCCCACTCCCAGTCCCTTTACAGACTTGGCTGTTTGGTCGCAGTTTCGTCCGGGGGCCTTAAAGCCCGAAACGCATGGCATGTGCCAGTACATGGCGGCAACTAGTGATCGCCATGCGCACAAGCGTAGTAACAAAAACTCCATACTTCCAGTAACAACAGCATTTTAGTAGTCATCCTAGTCCTAATACGGGGGCTCGCTTGAACAACTAGCAATACCATCGCCCTTATGTCCTTATACAGTATACCCCGAAACCTTCTTGTACCTTCTTGTCATCCCATATAAAGCCATGCAAAGCCCCATAATACAATCGACAATCACCGTTCAAGGATGTATTCAGGCCTCAGCAAACCCTAAGCCCTGAACCCTGCAACGCGGAAACCCCAAGCCCTCTAAAGGCCCTAGGACAAGCTCCCTAAACAAAAAACCCAAGCTCTAAATCCTAACCCCTGAACCCTAAAATCCTAAATTCCCAAAGCCTAAAGGCCCTAAACCCCCTCAACCCCCTAAAGCCCTAAAGCTCCCCCAAAAGGAGCGCTCCGTTGCACTCCAGTGCTTCACCTGGATCTTCGAGCGCGCCTACCGCCAAATGCAGCTCCGCACACTGGGCCTCTCGGGAGATCTGAGGAGAATTGGTCGGAAGAAGAAGAAGAAGAAGTTGAGGGGTTTAGGGGTTTCGGGGTTAAGGGGTTTAAGGGTTAAGGGTTTGGGGTTTAGGGCTTAGGGTTTCGAGTTTAGGGTTTAGGTTTAGGATTAAAGTACGAGTCTCTGCTTACTGTGCTGATGCTCGGAAGCCCTTAAAGAATAAGAACCGGGCTTTGGGGTATTATCTTATAGTATAGTTGCAATTTAGGGGCCCTTTCGAAGAGCATTGGTCATTCTTCCGGCCCTGTATTACCGAGCGCAGGGATTCAGAGCCCAAGGTTTCAGGGCAAAGCTTTTTGAGCGCGGTCGGGCAAGTCGATGCACTTGTTGAGTGTTTTTTGCGTACGGAGGTCTGTGCTCCTACTGGGCAGGGACTCAGAGGGAGTTTCACTGCATGACATGTTAGGGTTTATTGAGGCTTCAGTGCCCGGGGGGCTTTGTGGCTTTAAGATCCTACGGACAGAAGGTCTCAAGAGTCGTTGGCCGTGGAAGCTGTTCGCATGGTTCTTCAAGCTCGGGAGCTTTGGGGGATCGAGCTGCTGCGCAGATGCACAAACACGAGACTACGATAGGCTGACCGGTCTTACTGGGTCACGCTGAGGCATTTCGGGGTTTCCGAAAATAGGGGACCCTAATATGTACCCCAAACAGTAGGATCCTTCTTATAAGGACCCCCAATAAGGTATCCCTAATTTTCGGAAACTCCCATTTGCTCTGCAGACGTGGAGCACTGCTTGGCTGAAAGCGAAAGCTTCCAAGGACTTCCACAACTCTGTGCCCCAAGCGCAAAACCGTGGAGAACCCCCGCCTCTGAAGGCCCAAACCCCAAACTCGAGGGGTTTCCTTACGTCTACAAAATAGTAATAGTCGTAGTCATAATAATAGTAGTAGTCATAGTAACAGTAACAGTAACAGTAATAGTAATAGTAATAGTAGTAGTAATAGTAATAGTAATAGTAATAGTAAGCTTAAGAAAATTTAAGAAATTCTCGCCAAGCCTCGAGCCCGACAGTCTCAAGGTGGCCGAGGATGGTATTTGGCGGATGAGGGCCAGGCGATTTTCCTTTGAATTGCCCCGGCTTACACGTGCTCCGTTGCTCCCTTCGGGTATAGGTTCTTGATGTTCAGATCTTCATACGGCTCTTCAGAGGGTCAAGAGTCAGAACATGGATTCAGGCGAAAGGGTAGTCGGGTCTGAAGATTTGCGCTCAGAGGTCCTGAAGTCTTGTGCCACCGTTTTGGGGATCTTTGCCAATCGGATTCAGAACTTAGGGTGCAAAGATTCTAGGATTTTACAGGATGTTCGAGTCTTCGAGGTCTCTCCCTCAGACTCCAAGTGCTGCGACAGGTTCTTTCGGTTGATCCGCCGGAGACCTCTCTCGCTGCTCGGCTTTGAACATGACAGGGATCCTGCTGTTGCAATCTGGGCCATACTGGGCTGTTGGCACACATCTTGTTGCGGAGTTGGGTTCGGCCGCAGGGTCTAAATTCTAGATGCAGGGTTTACCGGTTTTGTCCGGGTTCTCGAAAGGAGGTGTCTCAGACATGGGTTTTGCTTGGCCCCGGAATGGATGTGAGCTGGCTGGGAAGGCGCTGACGGGTTCAGGTATTCAACACTCGCCGTCGTGATCATCATGACCAGCATGTCCTTATCATGGTCATACTCCTGATCTTTTGATCCTGATGATGATATGCATATTGGTTACGCGTCAACGGCTAACAGTTCTCACGGTTGCTATCATTACGACAACGACACAATCCCGAACAGCAGTCACGACAGTGGTGGAAGTCATGGTGGTATGAGTGACATGAATACCCGGAATAGCATTGAAAAGGATGCAGGGACATCGTCAACACTTGCGGTGAGAAGACAAACATGCTGTCAGCCATTGCAGTGGAACAGCAGGAACTGGCTCAGTTTCGAAAATAGGTTTTGATTTTACCCATCACCCGCACAGTTACCCGTCACCCGCACAAAGTGTAGTTCTAATTCCAGAGTGTGGGATCGGGTGTGATTTGCATTCCAACACTGACAATGGTAAGTGCCAGTCTCCATTATGTTCTATTCGTTCTAGTATACCTTAGAATCTCTATTCTATGCTCGATTCGGTTCTATGCTGTTATGCTATCTTACACGTTAAGGCCTGCAGAGACTCCAAAGTTGACTGAAACCATCGTGCGCTGAGGGCCTTCCTTCGCTGGCTCCACGCGTCTTTCTCTACAAAGGCCGGGCTTGGGTTACTATAGGGGCCTTAATATGCATGATAATTTAACAAGGAAACCCAAGATTACCACCAGGGCCTTAATATACGTGATCCCACAGCTGTAAATAGGACACCCAAAGTCGTATTGGTAATTAGCAGGCCCCTATGTTATTTTGCAGCGGGATGACTGCTGAGTGGTGGGTGGCAATTGTCAGCATGGGCATTACATCGCGACTTGATGTCCCCTCCTCCTCACCATCTTCTTCGTGTATAGGGGGGCGCTGAAATTACAGCTCGATCGGCAGTCTCAGAAAAGAGGAGTATGGTAGATTAAGGTATTTTTCAGTGTATTGCAGTATATTTTAGTATAATACAGAACATTACCGTGAACTATATTATTTTTCCGTACGCTTCAGTGTATGATCGTGAACTATAGTATATTATGATGCATTACAGTGTAGCATCTTAGGCAGCTTTTGTAGTCCTATGCCCGCAGAAGCTCCCGTGGGCAGAGCCATCCCTTCAGGCTTTGCAGCCGCCTCCGCGTATGTGGCGCGTGGGCCGTGTCTGAAGGCACATTGAATCCTTGTGGGACTTCAAGTTGCGAGGTTTGAGACTAGAGGCTTAGATTGCTGAAATGGTCACTGGCGAGTTTTCAGTGACTTGAGTGTTTGGAATGAGATGGTTACGGAGCGGCGAGGACACAAGCAACAGCCTTGAAGCATTCCGGTGGATTGTTCGCAGCCCGGAGCCCGTGAGAGGAAGTACGCTGTTTCAGGGCCGCATGAGATCTTGAAGGAAGCCCTAAACCCAAAACCCTAAACTCTAAAAGCCCCAAATCCTAAGCCCCTAAATCCTAAACGCTAAACCCTAAACGCCTAAGCCTTACAGCCTTGGAGCCGCCTGAAGTTCCGCGCGCTAGGTGGACATTTCCGTCCGCCTCATTCAGGGCCAGACGGTGGCTGGGCTCTGCCGGGTTCTAGAGAGCCCATGCCTGGATCCTCGCATGTCTTGGGAGCCCTAAACTCCTAAACCCTGGACCCAAAACCCTAAACCCTCAACCTACACCCTAAACCCTCGTGACCCTTAACCGTGAACCTAAACTGCCTAAACCCCGAACCCTACACCCTGTATGCGAGCCGTGCAGTCGAACAGCTGAAAAAATTAGAACCCCAAACTCTGAACGCCACCACACCCACAGACCCTCAAAGACCCAAAGCATCTGCAGCCGAAGACCCCGAGCCGCGTGGCCGGTTCTCAACTTAGACTAGAGGCTTTTTAGGTTGTAGGGTCGCATGTAGGAGAATGGACAATTAGAACAGGGTTTTGTCGGGACCACAAAAGGACATCAGTTCAATGGTTTAAGCAAACTCGGACCATCGACGAGGCTATGTTTGAGTGATCACATAGGGACCGCAGGGAATATACTTTTCCTCAATATTCAAGCAGTTTGCACATCCTGAGGTGCTGGACACGTTGAACCATTTTCGGGACTGCCTTAGACCCTCAACTGCACCAGAGAGAACGACTCCGATGCAGTGTGACGTGACCTCAAACCTTTGAGTAGGTTTTTGGATGATCCCTAGGTCCACAATGCGTCTTCTCGGTTCGGGGTCCTGTCTTGGTGTCATCGCTTCTGTCTACAAGTCTCAAGCTTCGCTGCATATATGCACAAATCAATCTATACATATATATATATATATATATATATACACGCACATACACACATACATACATATACACACACACACACACATATATATATATATATATATATATATATATATGCACATACATACATACGTACCTGCCTGCCTGCCTGCCTGCCTACCTACGTTGGTACCTACGTACGTGCGTACATACATACATACATCCGTACATACATACATATGCGTGTTTACGCGAGCACTACCCTTTATTCGCAGGTCCCTCCGTAAGACTGCCTCTCCCTGATTTGCATACATACAATATATAGCAAGTACAACTGTTCATATAAGTTTATACTGGTATGCATACACACTGATACTTGCATACCTACCTACATACATGCATGTGCAAATATATATATATATATATATATATATATATATGTACGTACATATATACACATATCATGCACATGCAGATACACATGCACATGCGCATGCGCATGCACATACACGTGCACATACACATACACATGCACGTACACACATACAGACATACACATACAGACATACATACGTACGTACGTATGTACATGCATGCATATGCCCGAAGCCAAGCGAAACGGCCGTGGTGACAACGACTGAGGACAACACTACCAGCAGACCTACTCAAGGGAGCCAAGCAAGGACGCCATTATGCTTCGAGCCTGTGAATTGAGTCTTGCTGTGAATTGAGTCTTGCAGCTAGAAACTGTTGCCGTGGAAGTTGAGCCACTCAGTGGCAGGACACCTACTGTGACAGCAAACTTCAAGCGAGAGGCATGAATCAAACCTTGAACGCTGAGCTTTAACAGGAAGCGCTGCCCTTTAAAGCCGGAGAGCCCTAAAGCTCAGAAGTGGGGCCCTCATCCCGAAAATCTTCAAAGCCTAAAACCTGGAACCCTCCACTTCCCTCAGAGCCCTTTCGGAGGAGGAGATGGATGGCTTTCTGCAGCGGCAGATCGCTGGACGCACCTGCATGAGCCGGCCGACTTCTCAGCATTCGCAGAAGCTCCTTTTCGGTGGTGGTGGTCGCCGGGGGGCCGGGGGGATCAAGGGTTAGGACTCACGTTTTCGGGGGTTCTGGAATTTAGCGCTTTGAGAGCTTTAGGTCAGGGCGTTTCAGGTGTCAAGGCTGCGGGCCCTTTTCGGGAACCTCCGGCTCAGGCGTAGGCTCCATAGCCCAAGCCCTAAGCCCTGAGCAAAAGCCCTGATGACAAAAGCTCTTCCTGCTTTTGGCCCTCTTGCCTGTGGGAGGGGTGTATGTAAAGTTGAGGCTTCAGGATAGCCTTCGGCTGCGCTTTAGGGCTCTCAGTAGAGAAGTCTTACTATCAAGACGTGGCGAGGCACAATCAAATCCACTACCGCATCCAGAAGGTTTGCATTGCTTCTCGGCCTTTTTTGTGAGAGTTTCCGAAAATAAGGGCTCCCAATATAGTACCCGAAATAGTAGGATCCTTATTAGAAGGACCCCAAAATAAGGTACCCCCAATTTCCGGAAACTCCCATACCCCAGGCACTCCACACCCGAAGCCTGCACTGCACCTTACGGAGCCTTGTAGACCCTCTTACACAAGAGGCCGAAGTCTTCGAAGGGCCAGTGCTTGTTATTCCGCCGGCTTCAACAAGTCTACCTTCCCATCTCATGAGTTAACGCCTTGGCCGTAAGTACCTGGAGGTAGGGCACAAGAACTATGGACGAGATCCATTCGAGGTACGTATATCGTCCTGCTGCTAAGTCAGGTTGAACAGCGGAGCACGATCAGCGAACGGTCTTATAGTTGAAGTCTGAAGAGAGTTCAGGAAGCCAGCTGGGGCGAAAGCTGCAATTGATCTCCCACGCAGCGAGGGCCCAATCCCAAGTAGTCCAGCTGTAGACCAAGGACAAGGACCCGACTTCCACGTTTCCCTTCGAGGATGGTGAGATCACGTATCTGGAGCGCTGCAGGGCTGGGGTTGTCAGGCGGCATGGTAATTCAGTGGCTATTAGACAGCACAGAATGCCTCAACATAGCAAGACCCCGTAACAACAATCAAGAATACCTAGAACAGCCAAAACGCAAGAGCAACCACAACAATGCTAGCTACAAGAGCAACGCAACAGCAATACAAATACTACGTACCGAAGTATTGTGAATCACACCCATGGTCGCCAAAGTCGTGAAAACAAGAAGTGGATCTCTGTCCGGGCCGCCCTTGATCCCGTGGTCCCACCTGGGCATGATACCAGCCGAAGTTACTTCTACATACGCAGCGCAAAGGGTATGAACACATCTGTCCATATCAATGTCTGTCCATCCAGATAGGTAGGTAGGTAGTTAGGTAGATCCATCCATCCATCCATCCATCCATCCATCCATCCATCCATCCATCCATCCATCCATCCATCCATCCATCTACACACACACACATACCCGTGAACATTTGTGACATGCCGAAAGGATGAGACAAGCTTTGGCAGGAATACTTCCAGCGTCGTCACGGCATCGTGCTCCAACCGCAGCAGCCGTCGCCGGTCCCACAAGAGGTTTAGACTTTATAGCGGTTGGAGGACGCGCTGGGTGGGCTGTTTTGGCAGTTTGGCGGGCTCAGGAGTTTTGACCCTCCTAGAGTCTTCCGCCACCAGATACAGGGTTGGGGTGTGAGGACTCACAGGTTTCAGAGAAGTTGAGATACATCCGTCCAGGAGTTCTGGTGCCTTTGCGAGGTTGGGCATTGTGATCCTATCCTGCAGATCCCGATACAGTGGCAGCCTGAAGGCTAAGAAGGACTCATGCTCAAAGCCAGAAGTTGCGAGGCAGCAACCTCAGGAACTAGGACCGACGGTTAAGGTTTTTGTGTCAAGGACTAGGAGTATGATTCCTCCGATGACTCGCTCCATCAACTTCACCAAGAAGCCGTGTCTGATTGTCTTAGCTACTGTCCACTGCCTGCCTCAAGCCGTAGTCGCCGTAGTCCTTCTGGAAGCACGTGAAGCTGCACTACATTAAACCCTAAACCCTGAACCCGAAACCCGCAACCCCAATCCGAAAGCCTGACAAAAACCCACAACCCTACAGATCCATTTTTCGGAGCCCTCAAAACGAAACCCCTGAAGCCACCCCGAATTGTGTTGAGTTCTTGATTTCCCCGAGGCTGCTCTACTGCCCTTTCCGGGCCAAGGCTGAGGCGCGGCTAAGTCCAAAGCCCTCCCCAGATCCCCGGGAGGATCTGGAAAGTAGATCCCCTAATTTGGGGCCCTATACTACTAAGGGTATTTTGTGGGAGCCCCCATTAAGGGATCTACTTTTTGGATCCTCCCGGGGGTCTGGGTCCAGAATCTTACTAACACAGGTACGGTGTACTGTAGTACACTATACTACAGTATCTTGTAACATGCCAAACCAGAATGTACTGGAGCATACTAAGAATATGCTATAATATACTATAGCATACTATAGTATAATAGAGTATACGATAGTATAGTATATTTGCTATTAAATACTCAATCCTCCGACTAAGGTTTGTTCAAGTAGAGGGTTCTTGAAGGGGTTGCATACGGGTTTCTAAACGAGTTTAACATTGAAGCCTGCATAGTTACGGTAAGTGTTTCGGGGCATACTATCATAAAGTCTAGTCATACTACGGCCCTAAACCCCTAAACCCTAAACCCTAAACCCTAAACCCTAAAAGCCCCAAGGAGTCATACCGAGATGTCACCCGAGAAGGGAAGGCTCCCAGGCCTTTGGCCGCAGACCAACCCGAGCCCTGGCTCGCCCGAAGCCGCACTGCGAAGCCAAAACACCCCGGGGCCCTAACCCCCATATAAGGAACCTATAAGGGATCTATAATGGGTACTATAATATAGGGGCCTTAATAATCCTATAACTTACCTTTGGTTAGTAGGGAATGCAAGAATGGTAGTAATAGTAGTTATAATTGTACCCCATTCCTCCATTCCCTACTAACCAAAGGTAAGCTACGCAGCATGAAGAGGGAAACCCTTTGAGCCCCGAAACAAAGAATCCTCCGGAGGTCTACCTGCCAGCGGAGGTTGCTTTCCTCACCGGCTTGGACGACGAGTGGAAGAGCAACAAGGACTGGGAAGGGCCGTGGGTGGATGTTTAGGGTGTTGGGCTTGAGGGATTAAGGTCTAGTATAGGGTCAAGGGCTTGGAGGTTGGACGGTTGAGGCACACGGAAAAGGGTATGAGGTTGTAGGGTTTGTTTGGCGTTGTATGATTTTTTGCAGGGTGTGGAGGGGAGGACATCAAGTTGCCGGATACCACGTCCCAGTGCTTTTGACAGCACAGCGAAAGGGACAACAGCCTGCTTGCATGTGAATCGGTGTGCGAAGACAGCCAGTAAGACTAGCAAGTGCCAGGGCGTGAGGGTCATAGGCATGTTTGAAGGCGCGTCCGGGCTTATGTGCAGGTGTGAGTGTTCTGTCGGTTCGGGTGGCGCATGTAGGAGTGTATATACCCTTTGAGAACCGAATTCGAGTTACTTACTAGGTCTCTGTATGTGGCAACTCGCAACTCAGATTCTGAAGCCTGACACCGACATCGCCCGCTTTCGCGTGCTGTCACAGGAGTTTTCGCAGGGCCTTTGGAGGGGCCTGTTGCTCAGAGCGACATGCATGCATACCTATGTACACCCACACATTAATGCACAGCTACATGCCTGCAGACGTGTTCGAGCACAGATGTGCACCTAAGTTCGAGCTTTCAAGTCGGACCCGAAAACCGATGAACCCGCGTCAGCCTCGAACACCAGTCCCGGGCAGCTCAAGCTCTGTATTTATCTATCGCTGAAGGAACTCTCGCACACGAACTCCAACGGGCCCTGGTGTCGGATCAGAGGGTGCTGTTCAGTGGAAGGCTGAACCCCAATCCGTTGACCCAGTACCCTGACTTGACTTCGGTTAATCGGAGCTCAAGCCAAGTAGCTGAGATGTAAGGCCTTCGACATCCGCCTCGAGAGCACTGGCAGCTCCAGGCAGGACTTTAGTATTTCAGGATTTTGGGACTATGAGAGTTTGGGTATCAGGGTCTAGGGTTCAGGGCGTCTGAGATTTGTCAGAACCACAGCTCGAGAATCTACCCCGGCGACTTTTGTCCGCTCGTAGAGACCCATGAAACCTTCTGGAAAAAAGGCACCTCTGTAGGCGAGAGAGCAGGGTAGCCAGACCCAATGCTTGAACCCTGAACCCCACCAGTCAGGGAAAAGAGGAAGAGGGTTTGGAATTTAGAGTGTAGGGCCTCCAGAGACTAGGGCTTCTCTTGGACCCTGAACCTTAAACGCTACTTCCTGGCTGTAGGGCAAGCTCATGCGCGGCCTTGCGGATCCAAGCGACGGGCAGGCGTTGCGCCACTCGGCGGCTCCTAAAGCACTACAAACCCTAAACTCGAGGCGGCCCTACATGCCTAAGCCTTAGCCCGTTAAGCCCAAGCCCTGAGCCCCTAAATACTACGTAAAGCTGCGCACATGCGAGCTCGTAGAACTTGTTTTGCATGGCTTTGTACTTGGTGGCTTTCGTGTAAGTGCTCAGAGCGGTTCCGAATCCCAAAGCCTAAGCTAACTCACTCCTGCCTCTCACTTGAGTTTGCGCTGAGCCCCGGAGCCCATGTGCAGTCTCGAATCACTGTCTCTCCATCATGCTTTCTGTCGTCCTCCACATCATCGAAAAAAGATCGTTGCCGATCGGCTAGAGTGCCTGGATTGAGCACAGCATGTCTGATGCAGGGGTAAAGAAGGATCGAACCACCCCGGCTTGTTTCAAGCAGTGAGACGCAAAATTGTACGTTAATGGGAAGCCCGAAAGCCCGTAAACCCTAAACCCCTAAACCTTAAAGCCTAAAAGCCCTAAACCCTAAACCCTAGCTCGCAGCGGGACTTGAACTGTCGCCCTGACCCGACACCGTCTCAGGCGAGTGGGGTGTCCAGGTTGCATCATCGCCACTGATCCCTGGCATGCACCCCGGGGGTGTGGATTCAAGTGACTCCAGAATTCGACACATCTGCACATTGAATTTATTTTCCTAGGTCCTAGAGTTTATGGAGACGCTTTGTCGGGTGCCGGCCGCATGCTACGATCTCGGACGGTGATAAGAGTGCCTTCGGAGTCTTGGTGTCGGTTTGAGGAGTTCGCAGGCGTGGTGGGGCATCACAGAAAACAGCAGATGTGAGGGCTTACGGAATCGCCCTCAGCGGGCGAACGGTGCTATTCACAGCATGGCGTGAGTCCTTCATGGAAGGATGCTTCGAGAAACAATCGCTTTAGTTTGTTGTTTTTGTTCTCTGCACTGCCTCTATGCTACTAGCTCGATGGCGGGACACCTCATGAGACTCTACTTGAGTTTCCCTTCAGTCCGAGAGGCCACAACCGACTCCCTGCATTTCTGAATCCGTCCCCCGAAAGCTTGCCAGAGGGTTTAGTTAGGCTTTAGGGCGTGGCCGTAGCCTCAAGGACAGGAGGGCAGGGCTTGCCTGAGTCAAAACTTTGACTGCTTGCCCTACTTAGAGGATCATGGAACTTAGTAACCAGGGTTATAAGTAAGGCAACTATACTTATAACTACTTATAACCCCAATTAAAGTACTTATAACCTTACTTACTAAGTCCCATGAACCTCCAAGTACACGTCAACCGATCTAAAGTTCCGTGTCCAGGAAAGTGCGCTTTGGCCAGCTGGAGTACGCCGCTGCGGCTGCAGAGAACATGTGACTTGCTAAAGGTTCAGGGTGGATGTTAGGGTTTAGGGTTTGGGGTTTGGTGAAGTTGAAACACATGACGGTGCTGATGGTGATGGGTGTTATTGAGCAGCTCGTTTTGGCGATAAGGGCCTTGCTCCCGGTCGAAAGAAGTCAAGATCGAGAGGGTTTCCTTGACATCCCACCGCTCTTTGCGGTTCAGGGTTTTTGTTTTGGTTCCGCTTTACGAGGGGCACGGCCCGGTCTAGTTGCACTCCCAAACGAGCTGCTGAGATTCTCAACTGCCGAGGGATTTCCAGGTCCCTTTGATCCCGGAGCCACGAGCCCAAATGCAAAAATCAAAATCGCCTTCGGCACCTCTCCCGATGCTGCAGAAGCCACGCCTCCCAGTACTCACTACTCATGATTGTTGTTTTTCATCACAGGTTGGCTTGAGTTCTGGTGAGAAAACCTACACTGGTTTTGCCTGTTCATTGTTGTTGGTCCCAGAGGCCAGACGAGCCGACCACAGGCCCAAAAAGACCACTAAACGAACGACCGCCAAGCCTGACTGATAAACGAGCACCCTGGAATCCCAAGTAAAGCAGAGCATCAGGCAGAAGCCACGAAACACCGATGCCAGGAACCGCCGACCCCCTTCGAAAAGGATGCCTCACTAAGGAACCTAGCTACTACCTGAGGAATCTTGTTTAAGGTCGGGGGGACCTTAAACCCTAAACCCTACACTCGAACCTCTAAATGCCAGGAGCCCGTCTACTTCAATCGCGAGGCTGAAGAGGATTTCCTGCAGCTGCCTGAAGCCCCAGATTGACAGCGTATTCCAGTATAGTTCAGCGTAGTAGGATAGAGTATAGCATCGTAGGAGGATAGTATAGCATAATACAATATAGTATAGTCGAGTAGTGTCATGTGGTGAGCAGAGAGGGGCCTTCTTCGGCTTCTCAGGCGGGATTGAGGTTGAGGCGGCAGATTGCAGAGGGCAGCGGCCCAGGGACGCCTGCTTCTCCAATGGCCTGTCGCTGCTGCTACTATTCTTGGTGTTCCTCCTCCTCTGTTGTGGCCGACGACGCCGAGGAAGACGCGGACGCCGACGACGGCAACGATGACGACGACTTTGTCGTGGTCGTTCTAGCCAAAGAAAACGCACTGTAGCAGAACTAACCAGTTCACCTTAATGTTTTAATGGGCGTGGGTTTAGCAACGCCGCGCTCGGAACAGGAGCCGCGCACTCACTCACTCCAAAAAAAGCCCTAGGGTAGAAGCCTGAAAAGTCAGTAGTACTATCATAGTTATACTATTTACATAGCCCAAAAACCCCGTGTGAATTGTCAAGGCCCCAGCATCACAGCGATCTAAAGCTCCAACCCATAGTCCCGAAGCCTTCTGGATCAAGGCGTGAGCCACCAAAGGAGCTGCAGGTGCCATGCAGCGGTCTGTGTGGAAGGGGGTTATGGAAGTTTACACCCATTTTGGAGTTCCCTGATTGTAATTATAAACGTATTCTAATTATCAAGGCCCTCTATTCCGGCGGTTTGGGTTTCAGGGTTGAAGTGCAGAGTTAGGGGAGGTTAGGGTTTCTTTTCTAGGGTTGAGGAGGAGAGAGTTGGGGACCCGGCCGTTCGGGCTTTCGGAACTAGAACGCAGGATGTGGCTTTCGAGTCTTGTTTCGTGCTGCACATGTGAGAGTGGAGTTTGCGAATGTTGGCATGCAAGGTCCTCATATGGGGGTGTTGTGTTTATCGGTGCTTTTGAAGATTGTTAGCGGTTAGCGGCCGTGGCGACCTCCGGATTCATCGTCGACGGTCACCGGGTCGTGTGTCCCCAATCTGGTTGTGATTTCTGTGTTTTTTGCAGTACTTCTGATGACAGCTCAACAACCGAGCCCAAGGCTCAGTGTGCCCTGGCTCCCTAAAGACAGGATTCCCCCAAGAGGTCTAGCCGCTATCTAGCCCTCAAGCTTATTCCCTACCTTCCCTGCCAAGAAGCCTAGTAAGTCTTATTCGACAGGTTCCGACGTCCCCTGACGGCTTCGCGCGTCGGCCCTGGCCGGAGGTGCCGCTGCGAGCTTGGCGTTAGGGTTTGGGACGGGAGCAGTTTGCGGTTGAAAGCTTTGGGGTTCGGTGATGATAGGGTCGAGTCGGGGTCTGGTTGTGCTCGTCTGGCTGAGGGCTTTGGCTTTGCGCTATCGGGTCCGAGCCAGGGGTTTTGGGATGAAGGCGATATGCCCTGGGTAGTGGTGGGGGCATTGCAGTGGTGTGAGCTTCTGCACAGGAAAATTTGATGCCAGATAGCTGGACACTGAAAAACTTTTGATCCCCATATAAGAAGCAAGTTCAGGACCCCAACTTCTAGACTCTACACCCAAGACCACCGATCTGTCTACGCTTCAGCTCCCAAGCTGGAATCAGGAACCTTAGAATAGTTGGTTCAATACAATGCTAGCTAGCAGTCGTCTGAATCAATCTATCGACTATTGTGACGATTCGTTTCCGTTGTATATATATATATATATATATATATGAGGCAGGAACCTTTATGTATAATGTGTCGCTCGTTCTTTGTGTAAATACTACAAATAAATCGTCTATGCACTGCAACATTATGTTTAGTGTTCCTCATCGACAGCTGCCTGATGGGACAGAACCATTGGAGGGTCGATGAGCATGGCACGTGCAACAACTTCGGAGGCACCGCAAGCACTGACTGCTATTTTGAAACAGGGCCCTCGCCTGTCTGACTAGGTTGGAGGCGTCCCACCCTCTCTTCTTGAACGTATGCTCGCTTCCCGCTTTTTTGAAAGGTAACGGGGATAGACAGGATCTCTTTCCCCTACCTAGAAAGAAGGAGGCCTATGCTCATGGTTTAACGGGGCTCTCTTCTTGCTCGATAACTCCTAGGGACCTGTCTGTCGGTTTATGGACATGGAGCTTTCTTCTGTCTCATTAGATTGGATGAAGCTTTCAGTCCCCTCTTGTCGAAGATGAGGTAGAAGGCTTTTCGAGAAGCCAGAAGAAGCTCTGCCCTCTCTTGCCAGGGGTCTCTTCCTCCGCTCTCTTCTAGAAAGAAGCTGTCTTCTCTTACCAGGAGTAACTTGGAGTGAGTTCTCTCCTTGTTTCAGAGGATGAGGTAGAGGGCTTCTCATCTCCTGTTTGAAGGCCGGACGAAGGGAGGACCAGACGTCTCTCGTCAAGGTTGGAAGTTTGGAAGAGCTCCATGCTTTCTTCTTGATCGTAAGATCTCTTCCTTTGTCTTGCAGAAGAGAGGGAGTGGGGGGGGGTGGCTTTGTCCTCTCTTGCTAGGAGTGAGGTCTCTTCACTGTTCTCAAGACTAAGACTTACCAAGAGGTAAGTAATGGAGCTCGCTTCTCTCACCACGAATAACTTGCAGGGGAGCCCTCTTGTTGCTTTAGAGCATGAGGTGGAGGAGTTCTCTTTCTTTTGGAAGGTTGAGGAGAGGACCAGACTTCTTTGTTTGAAGGTTGGGGGAGCCCCACCCTTTTTCTTGAGCGTATGCTCTCTTCCATTGTCTGAAGAGGTAAAGTTTTGTATAGGCAGGATCACCTTCCCTTACCTAGAGAGAAAGTTGGCCTCCTCTTGATGACTGGGGAAACTAAAATATCTTTAAAAGGGCAGCACGAATCAAAAATACAGGGCGCCGCGACCGTAAAACCCCACAAGCAAGCAGAGCTCTTTTCTTTCTCGATAGCTTGGAGGGGCCTGTCTGTCATTTTTGAGATGGAGCTCTCTTCTGATCGGAAGCTCTCTTCCATGTTTTGAAGAGGAGGGGGGAGATGGTCAGGGGTTCTCGCCCCTGACTAAGAGAGAAAGGAATCTTCTTGTCGACTGTCGACAGCGAGGTGAACACACCTCTCTTCTTTCTCGAGAAATTGGAGGAGCCTCTCTTCTGAGTTGTTGCGGTGGAAGACCTGTCAGGGGATCTCTTCCTCCATCAAAGGGTGCAGGAGCAGCCCTCTTCTGTCTTGCGAAATTGGAGGGAGCTTTCTTCCTGCTTTGGACGATTACGTTGAGAACTCAATAACCTGGAAGTGCCGGCCTATCTTATTTCGAAATCGAGCTCTCTTCTGTGTCATTGGGTTGGATGAAGCTCTCAGTCTCCTCTTGTCGAGGCTGAGGCAGCGGGCTTTTCTGTTTGGAACGAGGAAGAGGAGATACTCAGGAGCTTTCTTAATTTCCCTTGCCAAGAAAGAAAGGAGGTAGACGGAGCGCCCTTCTCTCTCGCGAAGTTGGAGCGGCTTGACTGCTATTTTGAAACAGGGCCCTCGTCTGTCTCACAAGGTTGGAGGAACCGCCCTCTCTTCTTGAACGTATAGGGTATGCTTGCTTCCCTCTTTTGCAAGGTAATGGGGGTAGTCAGGGTCTCCTTCCCTTATACCTAGAAAGAAGGAGGTCTATGCTCATGGTTTAACGGAGCTCTCTTCTTGCTCGATAACTCGTAGGGACCTGTCTGTCAGTTTATGGAAATGGAGCTTTCTTCTGTCCCATTAGATTGGATGAAGCTTTCAGTCCCCTCTTGTCGAAGATGAGGTAGAAGGCTTTTCGAGAAGCCAGGGGAGCTTTGCCCTCTCTTGCCAGGGGTCTCGTCCTCTACCGAGAGGTACCGGAGCTCTCTTCTAGAAAGCAGCTGTCTTCTCTGACCAGGAGTAACTTGGAGTGAGTTCTCTTCTTGTTTGAGAGGATGAGGTAGAGGGCTTCTCATCTCCTGTTTGAAGGCCGGACGAAGGAGGACCAGACGTCTCTCGTCAAGGCTGGAAGTTTGGAAGAGCTCCATGCTTTCTTCTTGATCGTAAGATCTCTTCCTTTGTCTTGCAGAAGAGAGGGAGTAGGGGGGTGGCCAAGAGCGACCGCACTACCTGGGTGCTGGGTTCAGTACGGCTTGCTAGGAGTGAGGTCTCTTCACCGTTCTCAAGACTAAGAAGCCACGTACCAAGAGGTGAGTAATGGAGCTCGCCGCTCTTACTACGAATAACTTGCAGGGGAGCTCTCTTGTTGTTTTAGAGCATGAGGTGGAGGAGTTCTCTTTCTTGTGGAAGGTTGAGGAGAGGACCAGACCAGACTTCTTTGTTTGAATCTTGGGGGGCCCCACCCCTTTTCTTGAGCGCACGCTCTCTTCCATTTTTCACCAAACAGGTACGGTTTGGGGTTCTCTTCTCAGAAAAAAGGTGGGCCGCGGTGGGTTGGATGGCTGGGCCGCAGCAAACTGGCTGGGCTCCCATTGGGCTCCCTTCATGTTTCCTTTCTAGGCTCCTGGGTTGGACGGGTGGGACGCGGCGAAGGACCTGGGCTCCCTTTCACTTCCCTTCATGTTTCCTTTCTGGGCTCCTGGGTTGGACAGGTGGGCTGCGGCAAAGGACCTGGCCATTTCACTTCCCTTCATGTTTCCTTTCTGGGCTCCTGGGTTGGACGGGTGGGACGCGGCGAAGGACCTGGGCTCCCCTTCACTTCCCTTCATGGGCACTTCCCCCTTTCTGGGCTCCTGGGTTGGACGGGTGGGACGCGGCAAAGGACCTGGGCTCCCCTTCACTTCCCCCTTTCTGGGCTCCTGGGTTGGACGGGTGGGCCGCGGCGAAGGACCTGGGCTCCCCTTCATTTCCGTACATGTTTCCTTTCTGGGCTCCTGGGTTGGACAGGTGGGCTGCGGCAAAGGACCTGAGCTCCCGCTGGGTTCCCTTAATGTTTCCTTTCTGGGCGCCTGGTCTGCCACAAACGTCTACAGCAGAGGCCAGGTATCCGGTATCCTGTCTTGCAAGGCAGCAATGCTGTAACAGGTGTGTGTTTTTCCGTGCGTGGTTTCTGCTGCAGCAAGATCCTGTGGACGACGCTCTTCGTTCGGTCTGCGGAAAAATCGTCAATGGTTCCGTGCAAAAGAAGATTTTCGTTCGCCTTAGAAGCCGACAAACCTCTTCGCGCTTCTTTTTGCCAAGTTTGCACGGCAAAGTTCCCAATTGCTCCGTCCGACAGGCGACCGATCCGTATACCAACCTGCTTCGTGCTTCTCCCGCAATCATCTACAGCAAAAGTCAGGTATCCTGTTTTGCAAAGCAGCAATGTTGTAATAGTTAGTTGGTCGAATACGATGTTCGCTGTCCTTGTATAGGTAACATGTCTGACTGTGTCGCTTAATGTGCCAATGACATGATCTTTGGCTCAAGTAATGAGAAAAGAGGTACGCTTGCAGCTTGTGTTCCTCTTCGGGCTGGGCTTCCCTTTTGGGTTTCCTTGCTTTGTCCGGCGATCCTACCCCAATATCGTTGTGCTGCTGTTGAGGGTCGGACTAACTCAGTTGCGGGAAAGTTGTTTGTGTGTGTGTGTGTGTGTGTGGGTGTTCTCCTGTGCGGTCTTCTTTTCGCCAAGTTTGCGCGGCAAAGTTCCCGCTTTTCCCCGTGCGACAGCCAATCGATACGTAAACCAACCTCTTTTGTGCTTCTTCCACAAACGTCTACAGCAGAGGCCAGGTATCCGGTATCCTGTCTTGCAAGGCAGCAATGTTGTAACAGTTGCGGGAAGGTTGTGTGTTCTTCCGTGCGTGGTTTCTGCGGCAGCAAGATCCTGTGGACGACGTTCTTCGTTTTGTCTGCGGGCAAAATCGTCAATGCTTCCGTGTAAAGGGCAACTTGTGTGTTTCTCCGTGCGTGGTTTCTGCGGCAGCAAGATCCTGTGGACGACGTTCTTCGTTTTGTCGGCGAAAAAATCGTCAACGGTTTCGTGTAAAGAAAGACTATTCTTTGCGATGTAAGCCGACAAACCCCTTTGTCCTTTGTGTTTCTTTTTGCCAAGTTCGCGCGGCAAAGTTCCTACCTTTTCCCGTGTGGCAGCCAACCGATCTGTATACCAACTTGTTTTTCGCTTCTTCCACAGACGTCTACAGCAGAGGCCACGTATCCTGTCTCGCAAAACGGCAATGTTGCGTGTTTTTTCCGTGCGTGGTTGCTGCGGCAGCAAGATCCTGTGGATCTTCGTTCGGTTTGCGGACAAAATCGTGAATGGTTCCGTGTAAAGAAAGATTTTTGTTTTGTGTTGTAAGCCGACGCACCC